GAGTATGAGAACAAGAATGAAAAAATGGAAACAGAAGGTTATAGTAGTAGCACAGATAAGAAACGACAGCAGCCAGAATAGGAGATCTGCGTGAAGTCCAGTGTGTGTTTAGTGGCCTGAACACTGTATGGCTGTGCAGGTGGCCTCACACTAGGCACTGAGCAAAAACTGAACTGGAATTGATTTACTTCAGAGAAAAACTGCACCTAGTTTTTCTCAAGCTAAACTTGGTCCTACAATAGTAGATTTACAAAAAATGTAAATAAAAAACTTGGTAAGAACTTAATCAAAAAAATAAGAAAAGGAAATTAATCAAGTATTTACAGAAATTATTTCTGGGTGATGGCATTAAAAGTGGATTTTGTTCTCTTGTTACATTTCTCTGTACTGTCCACATATTTTGCTTTTTTTTTAAAGTAGACATTTGGACTTAGGAGACAGATGACTTGGGTTTTATTCTTTCTCAGCCAAAATGGGCTCTGAGACTTTGATCAATTAATTCGATTTCTTTATATATTAATTTCTTTTGTACAGCAAGAAGATTAGAATCTATAACCTTTCAATGTCCCTCCATGATTCTCTATGTTGCTTTTTACAATATTGGCATGGGAGTGTTAAATAAACACCATAATCTTTTCAATCCTGGCTCAATTGAACATTATCACACTTAATCAAACAAACAAAAAAAGAGTTTTCTCATTGTTCTCTTAATTTTGCAGATCTATAATTTGTTACCAGTAAAGAATGTCTTTAGTGCTAGATATGGAGGTTTCATGAATGAAGATAGTGGAAAATGCATAAATGCAGAAGACATAACTTACAACGGAATCATTTACACACCAAAGCAGATCATGGATGATGATGATGTTTACAGAATCTTTGAGGTAGTTCTTCCTGAAAACATAACCAAAACTGATTTTTAAGTCTTTGTTAAGATGGAGAATAAATGGACTTCTAAGCTCTAGAATCTAATCCTGCTCTGCCCCCAACAAAGCTGTAGTTAACAACACTATATTAAAACCTCAGAGGTACAGCGAACTTTGTATATATACAGATATTTGATCATGAGTTTCTCTGGCACTTTAGACAGCAAGTGGTATACTTTAAGGGCCCACAACCTTATCTAAGCTGATTCGAAAGCTAATTACCACTGTCATATTCCCTTCTCAGTGATTCACAGAGATCCCAATATGTGAAAATATATTATAGTACCTCTGACACTCCTGGAAAAATGAGTACCTCATTGGCAGACATTATATCAGTCATTTGCACAATAAATACATGTTGGTTGTCTGAATACACCAAGTACAATGCTTGAGCCATCACCTTTAGTGCAGTAAAATTTCAAGAAAACTGAAAGTAGCCTTTCATGAAGAAAGGATTTCCAAGATTTGGAGTAGAGATGTTAGTGTGCTTTAATTATGTTAGATAAAATGTCTATCTTTAGGATTAACTATAAGTGGGAAGAGTTATGAAAGGAGACTTTATCCAGGTTGTGAGGCTAAATCTGATCACTAACAAAAAAGAAGTAAAAAGTCTCATTATACCTTGAGGAAAGCATAAATCACGATTTTGAGATGTACAGCTTAGCTGAGAGCAATTTAAATTAAAAGCCTCCAGAATCGTAAATGAGCTGGTGGTAGAAAGATAGAAAGAGGACTTTTTAGGTTTCTTAGCTCACTGCTTCATTGTTAAACATTTCTTTCTTTTTTCTCCCTATTCCATATCACTACCATCACTGAGCACTGTGCTCAGAGTCCCACGGTTTCCCATGTACTCTGAGATGGCACAGAAAGTAGTATTTAACTGTGACTATTGAAGAAAGAAGAAGTTGGGAACAGGTGGCTTCTAGGAATCAGGCTGCTGTGGGCATCTGCAGTGTGTTTTGGATGCAGAGATTCAAGATAGTTAAAAAAAAAAAACTGACAAAGAGAAGAGGAAAGGATAAATCACATAAAAAAAGGATGAATTGAGCATAGCTATTCAAGGAAAGGCCTATTTTCCAAAAACACAAACTAAAGTTTACTAAGAATATGGAAAAAATTCCAATATGCAACCTTATAATTTCAAATGAAAAAGAACAAAAAATTATTCTCTGCAATAAAGCTATGATGTATGTGTGTACATGCATATATATAGAGAGAGATAAAGATATATATGTTACATATGCATATATATTTTATTTGCTTTGGCAGGGTGGAGGAAGGGAAGAAAACATTCAAGGCTAACGTACTCAGTTTCCTGGATACAAAAGATAATTAAGAAGGCATAAGCATACAGCAGACGAAATTCAGAAATAAGAATCAGTACTGAGTTCTAATCACAATTCCCATTCACTAACAGAGTAAATTGGACTTTCTGTGACTATTTTTGTATTTATGAAATAGCTTTCTTTTCTATCATGTGGAATTTTCATGATGATTTTATGGGCCATACGTACAATAGTGAAAGTGTAATATAAATGTAATAAAATATTCCAGTTTCAAGATTGGATTGCCAATATGCTCTAATAATTAATTTTCTTCTAGTCTGAAGGATTAAATATTTTTACCAACTCAAAAATCCACAAGCCACATTTTTGTCAGCTGCCTCAGGTATATAATGAAGCGCCTATTGCCTATGTTCAAGGTAAGATTTATTTGTTTGATAGAATAATAGAAAATATTGTTATATTATATTTCGATTATAAAATAATAGAAAATAGAATAATAGGAAAGAAAAATTGTTTTGCTGGGTTGGGTTGGGATAAAAAGCTATTTTTCTAAGTATCAAATGTTATAACTCTCCAGCAATTTTTTGGTAAATTTTCTTCAAGTAACATTTTTACCCTAATAAATAGGATTTTTTTAGCAATTATCATTTCTCTCTCTCTCTCAAATCAAAATTGACTGATTTTTGTCCTAGCCTTTAATAGTCTTGCTACTTCAGAGTCTCCTTAACTACTATGAATTCAATACCTAAATTAATCAGGATAAGATAGTAACAAACAAACCCCCAGATCTCAATGACTAAGCATATAAGTTTATTTTTTGCTCACACTAAAACTGCTCGTGAGTCCAGTAGCTCTCCAGAACAGCTTCCTATTAATCATAAGTCAGAGATATCCATTTTACTTTTATCTTGTCACTCTATCATCTCCAAAGGGCCTTTCAAGGCTACCACCACAGGAGAGAGAAGTAAGTGTGCACGTGACTTTTATGGCCAGCAGGGGAAGTGGCATATAGCATATCCACTATAGTTGCAAGAGAGGCTGAGAGATATGGAGTATATGGATATTAACTGTTCCTGTCATATTCTTTTATGGAAATCAAAGTGGCTTTGATATATTGAACAAAATAGAATAATTCACCTTTTGGCAGATATACTACTAGTCTTTGTATGATTCAAGTATACCTGGTGATGAAGAAAAGTTGAAAAGATTCTAAGTTTGAGAATTCTTTTCTACTGCTATCAGGGCTAGAGAAATTTCTCTCTGCATATGTGGATGTCTACTAATCCTGCTTTCTAAAAAGAAATGTAGCGATATAAAGTGTTTTTTTTTTTAATTTAATAAAGTAGAAATTATTTATCTGGGAAGACAATGAATAAAGTTCTAGTTGAAAACAAGGGAGTGAATAAAAATATTCCCTCGATGGATAGAAAATTCTGTATAGTGAAAAAGAACACCATGCTAAGAGCAAAAGGACATATTTGCATCATACTCCTATCTGGGGTGACATACATGACTTTAAAACTTGCAGATTCATTTACCATTTCAGAGGCTCAAGTTCTTCGTATCTAAAGTCAGAATGACACCACCAAAGTCACTGAGATCTTGTGAGCATAAAATGAAAAAAATATAATTATGATGTACGTGAATTATAATAGCATGTTCTTTGTTTAAAAAACTGAAAAGCACTATTAGTTTATTACCATATCCTTCTTAATGCCAAGTGAATATTTTCTTTCCAATCTTAAGAGAAAACATGTTAGTAAAAAGAAAACTTAAAACAGAGTACCATCATTATATTCTTATCCCAAATATTCTATACTCTACAAATTTTCATTTGATATTTGTCACCTATTCATTCTTTCCTTTTTATTTTCAGTTATATCACCGTAGTCTTGTCCCAAATTACTTAAAAATAATTTACCTTCCTTGCCTCCAATCTTTCTCTACTTCAATCTGGCTCATCTATTGTGAAAGGCATATCACCCTTAAACATTACTTTTAACACGTACTTATTTCTCATACGTAGTCACTACTTCTAGAATTCATAGATTTATAGTACTTAAGGTTTTAAAAGAGCATGTCCAATTCTATTATCATATATGCAATATATATTTATATGTATATATTGTACATGCTGTCTTCATATATCTTCTGATGTCTGTAGTATCACTTTTTAATCAAGCTACCTCCTGCCTTAATAGATCTAATTTATTTGTGTTAATCTTCATGATGTTTTATTATATAATTACCTACTATTTACTCAACTATGTTAAACGCACCACTGAAATAGACATTCTACTCCAGAGGGGTAAGTTCTTCACGATCTCTTTGGAGCATCTCTTTCAATCTTGCATAATCGTTTTCTTGAAATGCCTTCTCCATTCTCCTGTTTCTCATCCTTCAATGATTATCTTAAGTTATACTTCGGTAAAGTCTTTTCTGGGCAATCTGAAGTTCATCTTTTGTTCTTTACTGAGTTTTTGCTTTCTATAACATATACTTTATTATATCCTGTTGTTAATGTCTCTAGATCTTATGTACTGTTAAATAAAAAGTATCATTCCTGAAATTCTCTTCCTGTAGCTACTGTTCATTCCTCTTTTTTTAAATTCTTACCACAAATGGAGAACACGTGATCGTCATTTCAGTGTAAAGGCAATATTTGGTGTATTAAATTACTCTTTATTCTTTCCTCCACCAGTTGAAAAATCAGCTTAGGGAGAGCTACATTTGTTTTCATTTCTAGAAAAAAATACATTTACCTCTAAACTATTTGAAGAAGAAATAGGATTAACCTTCCTATAGGACAAATAAATAAGTGAACAAAGTAAAAAGCTTGTAGCTTAAACTGTTCCAATAATAAACATTCCCTGAGACCTTATTTTACTTGATAAATAAGACAATTATAAACATTCCAATAATAAACATTCCCTGAGACCTTATTTTACTTGATAAATAAGACAATTATAAGAAACTAATGATAAAAATGAGGTTTATATTGAGCCCTGCTCATTGTCTTTCCACAGAGAGTGTACCCACCTTAGCTGTGGGACACGGTGCAATGGCACCTTATCCTTCTATGATGACAAGAGAATACTTTTCAGTTGAGGAAGTAAGAGAGACAGTCCGGAAGTATTTCCCTGAAACCTGGATCTGGGACTTGGTGCGACTTGAGTAAGTTGTGTATTGCCTAGAATTTAATTTAGAAAAAGACTCAAATTATCTTCTTTGGTTTTGGTGTTATTTATCCTTGGTTTCTGATCCTTTCATTTCTGCTCTGCTTTTTTCTAGTCAATATTTAGGTTCGTAGTTCATTTATCTCATAGTTAAACAATGCATTTTTTTTTCTAATTTGGTCCTGAGATACCCAAAATAATAGACAGCAGGAAGCTACCCTCATCTCTAAAAAGAAAAGAAAAACTTTCAGAGACCTCATTAATAGTGGTAAACAATATATCAAGTTAACATTTACTTAGGTCACTAAGTTATCATGCTATGGTCCACGCTAAAAAAGAGATTCATTCACTTTCCTACTCTTTTTCTTTTCACTAGTTTATCAGGTAGCAGTGAGCTGGCAATGAAGGTCCCTGACACCATTACAGAGTGGAAGGCCAGCGCACTCTGCTTGTCTGGAACAACAGGGCTTGGCCTCTCCCCCATCATCTCTCTTCAAGTCTTCCAGCCCTTCTTCCTAGAACTCACTCTTCCCTACTCTGTGGTGCGAGGAGAAGTCTTTGCACTCAAAGTCACTGTGTTCAACTATTTGTCCTACTGCATTCGGGTAAGGGCTCTTCTCTAGAAGGGAGCAAAAGCAGAAGGAAGGGACACAATCGCCATTCGTTACATAGGTATCCTAGGTAATCTCTCAGTAAATCATAACAGAATATGATGCAACCTAATTTTGAAATGGACTAGGTACTAAAAGCAAAACTACCTGACAGGTTCAAGGTGGTAAGGTTATATTCATTTGGGATTCTATATTATCTGTCTATTACTAAATTCAGATATTATTTACACCTGATTTTACTTCAGTTTTTCACTCTAAGAAAAATATCCCCTCTTTGTGTTGGCACAAGCCTAAATCCTGAGCATTTATCCTAATTTCTATCAGTTTTTCAATTCCCTTACTGCAAACATCTAAACAGCAAAGTATTTGACAGGATTTACCTTGTTTGAACAATTTCTCAAAGCATCTCAATTAGTATGTATTGTCCCTTTAAGCTCATTCCTCTATTACTGACCTTCTGCCTATGATCTTTCTCATACTTGTGGGTGGGTGCGGGGGGCAGGTCAGCGTGCAACTCGAAGACTCTTCTGCCTTCTTGGCTGTCCCAGTTGAGAAGAATGAAGAATCTCACTGTGTCTGTGGAAATAGGCAGAAAACTTTATCCTGGGCCGTGACCCCAAAGTCACTGGGTGAGTCATAAAGTTGTTGACAAATCCACCTTCTTATATTGTAATGATTTGCTTTCATCTCTGAGTCAGATATATGTTTTGTCTCCTCTAACAATGATCAATCAAAAGATAACCATTATATAAATTGGGGAAATTTAAAAAGAAAAAAAACCATTCAATAGAGAATCCCTGTTTAACTCTTTAAGAATCTTATTCCCCAGGAAAGGTGAATTTCACAGCTACTGCGGAAGCCTTGCAGTCTCAGGAATTGTGTGGCAATGAGGCACCTAAAGTCCCAGCACTTGGGCAGAAGGATACTGTAGTCAAGCCCTTACTAGTTGAGGTATGCAGGTATACTTTCTCAAAATCTTATTATATAATATGTATGTGACAGGGACATTTAATTTCCAAAAATATAGTTGTATCCACAAGTCAATTTTTTTTACTAACATTTTCTCTACTTTAAATTGATTGATTTTTCTCTTACATACTCAGTATCATTTTACTTTTTTTTTTTAATGTAAAGCCTGAAGGAATAGAAAAAGAAGAAACTTTCAACACACTCCTCTGTGCATCAGGTAAGTGTCAAAAATAGATGAAGTCCTCATATTAAGCCACTTGCCAAAGTATATGGTTGTAGAACAGCTTTTGGGACATGTCCTCTGAGAAAAAATAAAATTATGTACTTTCCCATGTACAAATCTAAGGATATTTGATGAAGAACTTTTTCCTGATGAAGGCATAAAGAAGTTAGAAGGCTTACCTAGAAGCTTTTGGCAATTAATGAGGATGAAATTGATTAACAGTAGGACAGGATTCTTTCCAATACAAAACCAAGCTTCCCAAAACTCTCTAAATAGTTTTAAGAATATTACAATATCTACGTGAAACTAGTACTATTTATTATTCAATTATAGTTTAAAAAGTAAGAAACATGTACTCATGTTTGTTTATTTGTTTAAACATGTTATTTTAAGAACAACTTCAGATGTAATCTGCTCTTGGAACACATCCAGCATGCTCTGATATCTGGAGTCTTTTCACTTTTTGTTCCTTTTACTTGGAAGTCTCTTCACCTAGATATCTATAAATCTTATTCTCTGACTTATTTAAAGTTTTCAATCACCTATGATTTTGCGTCAATGAGCTATTTAGTAGAGTCCTCTCTTTACACCCTGCACTTCCTGATTTGCCTTGTCTTGTTAGCTCACCTATATGAACATATACTCTGCTTTAATTCTCCCCTCAGAACTTAACATCTATTATAGTAAATATTTATTAAGTATTTATTAATATTTATTAAAATTAAAATTCCAGGAAGTCAGGAAATGTGTTTTGAAAATTGCTATATCTTTGCACTTAAAACAGAACCTGTATATTGCATGCACTTACTACATATTATGGAATAAATGTGATTTAACAAAAAAAATTAGCAGAAATTAACATGAAGAGAAAGAAATAAAAATACCACAAGATATGCACATAAAGAAATCTATAGAAATTTAGCACAAATGTATATGATTAATATGAACTGCACTATGAGATGAATTGAGGCTTTAGGAGAAACTTGGATTGTATTAAAGAAATTATATAATGACCAAGAGAAATGAGAGGTTAGGTCTTGATCATATAGGGGAAAACATTTAAACAAAAATAAAACATTTATCTTGCTTTTTCCTTCCCTTATATACGTATTTGTCTTCTTTCATTAGAAACTGGAGTACCTGAAAAGTTGTCACTAAAAGTACCTTCAAATGTGGTTGAAGGATCTGCCAGGGCAACATATTCAGTTTTGGGTGAGTCTCCCAGACCAAAGGAAGCAGCTGTTCGTCTCCATAACTCTAGCGCATGGGGCCTCATCATTCATGGCTAATGAAGTCACTGACTCTAGACACTGGATTGAGAAAAAGAGCACTGAGCTAAGGATTGCATCATTTATTAGTCAGAAAGGGGGTTGAATAGATGTGACATATATAAAGAGACAGATATAAATATATATCTTGATATACTAAAAAAAACATGAAGGGTCACCTCTCTGTCCTTATCTTCAAGAGACTTAGTATGTAGTGATACTTCCTAATAAATGTGAAAATAGTTAATTTTTACCAGACATGTTGCAGGATCAGAAAAGATGTATCCTGCCATTCAGTTTTTTCCGTTTTTTTTTTCCATTCTTGAAACATCTCCTTTATTTTTCTCATTTTTTTCTTTTTTCTATTTCTTGTTTTTCTTCACCTTTTATTCTTTCTTGTCCTCCCCTTCACAAATGAATTGACCTCTCACTTAGCTAGTAATCTATCTTCCTATCCCAACGTAACTCAGCTCTGAGTTCTTCAGATTTTACTATATTTTTCATTCCTAAGGTGATATACTAGGCTCTGCAATGCAAAATCTTCAGAATCTTCTCCAGATGCCTTACGGTTGTGGAGAGCAAAATATGGTCCTTTTTGTCCCTAACATCTATGTTCTGAACTATCTGAATGAGACACGACAGCTGACAGAGAAGGTCAAGTCCAAAGCCATAGGCCACCTCATCAGTGGTAAGAGATTACCCTAATAGGAGAAACCTTAATTGAGTTTCTTAATATCTTCTTCACTGAATTCAAATTCATATCCCTTTGGTTAAGATTTAATAATTATTGTTGCTGTAATAGCCAATAAAATGTTTCACTATAAAATCAGAAAATTCAATGGTATCATCAGGTCCTAGAGATACCTTAATAAAATAGCAGTTTTCCTATGACTCCTAAACAAGTTTTGAGGAAAGTCACTCTCCAATATCTCCGCTATTTCATAAAGTTATGAAAACTTCCTCTTCAGGGTACCAAAGACAGTTGAATTATAAGCACAACGATGGTTCATACAGCACCTTTGGGGATCATGATGGTAGAAGACAGGGAAACACTTGGTAAGATAATTACTTCCATATGCTCTTTGTAGATCTGTCATATTTCACAATTCTGGAATTAGCTATTCTCTGATGCCTAAAGTTCTTTAATGGAAATCTATTATCTTTTAAAAACCCATATGTGTATGATCTTACCATTCATCGATGAAAGCTTACCTGCTCTGACAGCAGAGTGAATAGCAGTAAAATAAAGATCTCCCAAAATGGAAATATAAAGCAGAAAGCATCATAATGTGAAATAATCAAGGAAGAAGCTTTGTACCCTGTGCATTCAGAAGGAAGAGGATGAAATGGACATAAAGATACCATGAAGCAGTAAAATCATAAAAATAAAAGTTTTGGTTGTGGGAAGGCTTAAGGCTCCAACAAACATTTCATGAGGGGAAAAAAAAGTGAAAAGCATCAACCCTGGAGAAACCAATAACATCGAGAGATTTAAAAAACAGACTCAGATATTTGCTGGACAAACAAGAGAATATTTAGTTATTCAAGTATCATTTCCCCACCAATTTCTCCCAACAATTTCCTTCACTGAATTATGTAAACCAATGTCTAGAGGCAGTGCACAGGTGAGCTTTAAAAATGAGATGGTCCTCAAATCTGTTTCTTCTTTGTTGGACAGGCTCACTGCATTTGTGCTCAAGTCCTTTTCTCAAGCCCGGTCATATATCTTTGTGGAGGACTCACACATCCTGAATTCCCTCACCTGGCTCTCACAGAAGCAAAAGGAAAATGGTTGTTTCCAGCACTCTGGATCACTGCTAAACAATGCTATTAAGGTGATGATGCCTTTAATATTGTTCTGGTTCCTAAAGAGGGTAATATGTAAGAGCGATGATGCTCCTGTTGATTCCTCGAGTCCAGGTAACATAGTTTTAAGGAAGGATGGTAAACTCTAAAGCTTTTGATCTAGTAAAAAATTAATCAGTTTTTATTGAATGAAAATTGTGCGTTGTGCAAAAAAAAAAAACAATATATTACTAAAAGTTAGGGAAAGGGATTTGGGACAGGTTCAAGAATTTTAGGGTGGAGGAAGAAGGAGGAAAATCAATAATTTTTCTTGAGAAAAGGTGCTTTCTAGTGAAGATGTCCAAGAGGAAATGTAGAGCTAGCCAACTCTAGCTAATGAATATTGTAGTGTTTGATTATCTCTGCCTCTGATCCTTACAGGGTGGAGTAGATGATGAGGTAACGCTCTCTGCCTACATCACCATTGCTCTGCTGGAGATGCCACTGCCTGTCACTGTATGTACTAGCACATTCCCTGTATCCGCTTCTCACAATGTCAGAAAAAAAAAATCATGAAACTATGAATCTCTGAGGAAAATGACTTGTGGTTTTCGTTATTTATTTTGATATATTTCACTGAAACATGAAGGTCTATATCCTTTTGGAAGCTGCAAAGGAAATTATTTTCTGGTTCACACTGTGAGGTGACACAGGCACACAGGGGCTTTTAATCACGGGTTAGCTTGGGGACAGTTTATTCACCTGGTTCTTCTCTCTTAAGATCTCCTTTCATCTTTATAGCACCCGGTTGTCCGCAATGCTCTCTTCTGCCTGGAAAATGCCTGGGGATCCACCTCAGAGACCCAGGGAAGTCTTGTCTATACCAAAGCATTGTTAGCCTATGCCTTTGCCCTAGCAGGAAACCATGCCAAGCGCAGTGCGCTGCTTGAGTCACTGGACAAAGAGGCTGTGAAAGAAGGTAAGAGAGGCTACTGCAAAATTTACTTCCAAAAATCACCAGTTATCAGAAGAAGGGAGAGGACCTAGTAAACTCATACCTGTGATTATGATTATGTTTACTATATTATATTATACTATGATTATATTATATCATTATTATATTATACTATATTATTATAAGATAATAAGAGAAATTATCATCGACTGAACACAAATTCTCTAGGTAACATAGATCACTTTATCAATTTATACCTTATCTACTCTATAGAGCCCAACTTCTAACATTACACAAGACACAGTGTGATTTGCTGGAATACTAATTTACTTTCTAATTTACTAATTTACTTCAAACAAAAAATTGCTTGATTGGTAATACTTTTACACTTTTATTTCATTTACATCAATTCACTACTTGAGCTCTAATTATAATGATCATTCATGAATTAGGTTTTGAAATCATTCTCTAAGCTTAAGAGTATGTCTTCTTTCATTTCAAAGAGGACTCAATCCACTGGCAACGTCCCAGGAAACTTCAAGAAGATAAGTCACTCTATTATCAACTCCGGGCTCCTTCTGCTGAAGTGGAGATGACATCTTACTTGCTCCTTACCTATCTTACTGCCCAGCCTGCCCCATCTTCAGAAGACCTGTCTGTAGCCTCACGTATTGTGAAATGGATCACTAAGCAGCAAAACCCCAATGGAGGCTTCTCCTCCACTCAGGTATGTGGACAGACTCTAGGAAGAAAATTAAATATATTATTACATACATAGACACAACCATATTCTAGGAGTTAAATAATCGAATGATGTTTCTAATTCACACTTTCCTCCATCACCATAAAGGTTCCAGCCTCACTATTTTATATATGGATTATTGCCATGTACTTTGTACAGTCTCTTATATCTTCTCTCCTTCATGGACCATCAGCTGTAAAGTAGATCAATAGTCCTAAAGCGATGCTCTTATAAGATTACTTCCCTAATAATGTAAATCATTTTTCCATCCGAAGACTAAAATTATCTGATATTTTACCTAACATATTTCCTCTCCACAGTAAACATGAATATTTCTATCTATTTAGGCTGATCTTTCATTTTTTCTGGAATTGGCTCATTCCCTTCTCTATGTCTTCACTTATAATATTTGCCACTCTGCTACCCCCTGATGCCTCTCTTCTGTCTATATAAAGTTTTCTCACTATTCAGAGTAATCATATTTCTCACCTTCACAATCTTCTCTTACTCATCTAGCTACAATTTCTTCCCCCTTCTCTGAATTTTTACAACAAATATTGTTACATAATTTATAAATTATCGAAATAGCTTTTGCTTTGTGTCAAATATTTGAGTCTTAGTTCCATATGTATATTGTAAACTACTTGAATGAGGAAACGTCTTCACTTCCCTCCAGAGTACCTAGAATAGTTCATGATCAATAACCATGTGAACTGAAATTCATTTAATGAACTGTGTTTATGGCTAAATAACTCTGAGAGAGAAAGTAGTGTTGATATCTAGTATGATTTTGTTACCTTCCTCCTGTGATTTCTGCACTCATCTTTTTCAGGATACGGTGGTAGCTCTCCAAGCACTGTCCAAATATGGAGCAGCAACTTTCACTAAAAGAGAGAAAGCAGCTACAGTCACTGTCAAGTCTTCAAAGACCTTCTCAGAAGAATTTCTAGTAGATGATGCCAATCGCCTATTGCTTCAGGAGGTTCCATTGCCAGAGATTCCAGGGGAGTACAGCACAACGGTGTCGGGGTCAGGATGTGTATATCTCCAGGTGAGGCAGCCAGGGTTTAGGGGATGCTGTAAATGGGAGAAAAAGTCAAAAGAATTAAATTTGAGTTTCAAAATAGAAAAAGAAATGTGTGCTAAGGGGAAGTATGAATCAACTAGAAGAGATTGACTATTTGAGTGCAAAAATAAAGGATTTTGTTCTATTTTTTTTTTAGACATCCCTGAGATATAACATCCTGCCTAAGAAAGAAAGGAAAGTTCCCTTTGATCTACATGTTCATACTCTTCCCAAGAATTGTGATGGAATAGATTCTCACAAGAAATTCCAGATTCACATCAATATTAGGTAAATCCTAAATTGCTACCAGAACTTATGTAGAATATGATAAAACTAATTTTCTTGTGTGTAGGAACTCCACTGTCCAAAGTCACACATAATAAATATGGAATTTTTGCAATATTTATTAACAAAAAAAATTTACTGAAAAGCTTTAACATTGAGAATATGATGGTTCCATACATGAAGAGTGTGATTTCATAGTGATAGATTTTCTAAACCACCATAGCAAAAGCAAATAGAGTAGATGGAGAAGCTGAGTGGTTGTTAGGGATAGGAAACACTAGAAATAGAAGAGAAGGGAAGATTTCCATCCTGAATTCCAAAGAATTTTTTTTGAATGCCTTGTCCCCGTGTCTTGATTTCATAGTTATACTGGGGAACGCCCCAGCTCCAACATGGTCATTGTCGACGTGAAGATGGTATCAGGCTTCATACCTGTGAAACCATCAGTGAAAAAGGTAAATCCTATATCCCTTACAGATAGCAGAAAGCAAAGTCACGATAAATGTTGCTATTTATGCTTGTCTATTTTCTTTTATTGATTCAGTTTTCAAGAGTTTTACTCCCTCAAACTTGCTTTTCTGGAATGTGTTTCCATCATCTTAATAATGGGTATCATTGTTATGTGATCTCAAGTATAAGCATAAGTCATAAATATGGCTAATAATGTTCTAGCAGGCCCTGAAACATCTAGGTATGTGGAGTGTTTTTGAATTATCTTTCAACTATATATATATGTATACATATATATATATACATGTGGATAATATATCATATATATGTATATATGTATATGTAACATATGTAAAAAATATATGATATATTCTCCACTTTTTTCTTTTTATATATAGTTGGAAGACAATTATTTATTTATATTATATATAATTACATATTATATATAATATAGATAGATAATTATATATAATTATATATAACATTATATAATGTTATGTAATTATATCAAAATTATATATAATATGGAGGCTTTAATAAATATTACTCTTATCATTACACTTATTGTTATTACTGTGATTCTTGAAGAAATCAAAAGTAGGAGTTTGAATGTTTCTGAGCAATCATTTAGATCATAAATACCTGAAAACTGCTCTCAGCCTGAACTTCCTCATCCCATATCTCTCATTTATCCCCCTGGTCAATAGCTCCAAGCCAGGCCTCAGATTCAAAGGACTGAAGTGAACACCAACCATGTCCTGATTTACTTTGACAAGGTAAGATTCACTGTGACTCTGCTAGATCTGGGAGAACTACTAGAGGTTCTAACAAACAAATTCAGATTCCAAATAGTGCTTTTCATATACACAAGTGAAGGAGAAGAAAATAGCTACAGAGGGAAATGAAGCAGAACTGGTCAATAAGGCTCAATTTACTATATTTGACTCTCCATAAAATTGTCTTTTTTGCCTTTCTTCTATCTGCCATTGAGTATGTTATGCAAGTCTCAAAATGTCTTATTCTTTCCATGGGCTTTGGTACAAATGGATAGCATAAGTATAGGGTCTGATAATATCTTAAGAAGAGAAGATGATTATTAGCAACTAAGTTAATCTTTTATTCCAATTCAGTTTTTATTTCTCTCCAGATAACCAAACAAGCCCTGAGTTTTTCCTTCTCAGTGGAACAGGACATCCAAGTAGGGAATTTAAAACCAGCTATAGTAAAAGCCTATGATTATTATGAGACAGGTAAGTGGGATTCAGATATACTAAACTTTGAAATGAAAAACATGACTAACCTAGTAAAAGCTCACTTTAACTAAAACAAAAGTCCACAATATTTCATTGGAAGAAAAAGTGAGTTTATGGTCACTGAATAATCATGTGCTTGCACATTAACCCCTCATGTGCCCCCTAAATAAATTTTAGAGCCATTCTTATAAATTGATCTTAAAGCACTAAGGAAATTAGTTCTTTCTAAATTCTCTTAGAAAGTTGTTTGTTCTGGACTGAATTTTTCCAGGAAGATAAAAAGGGTAACAATGACTAAAACATCACATCTCATTACTGATGTGTGTAATATGAAACCTAAAATTAAATCTATTTTTGACTTGTGCCTTAAATAGTCTAACAAAATTTGGTAAACATTGTAATATATCAGGACTCATTTATTCATGATTTTGAATTAGAAATAGCATCATAGCCTGCTGGTAGTGTTAAAACTCTACTTCTTCTTAGACTAAGGAAAGGTTCAAAAAAGGAAGAACCACGAGAAAAAACACAGCTGTGAAAAAGGGCTCTACAGTGTCCTATAGATACAGTTTCCATATGTGAAATCTGGCTCTCAATTCTGTATCCAAGACCAATTTTCTCTTACTCTCCCCACACCCCAATCCCAAATGGCTTAATACGGAAGTCGATTTTTTTCGCTCTCTGTGTTTATACTCTCTTTTTTAGTTTAAATCATACAGTTTACTTACAATTAATTGTTCATGTTCTTATTACTGAATGTCTTGACTCTTTTTGTCTCATCATTCTGTATTTCAGAGGAATTCACCATTGAAGAGTACAGTGCTCCCTGCAGTACTGGTAAAGTATAAACAGTAAAACCTAAAGCCAACATAAAGAAAATAAACATCTGTTGCTTTCATTAAGCTGCTTCTTGAGTATATCTTTACCATATTATTTTTAAAAACCTGGTGTATAATTTATGATTTAAACTATTTCAAATGTATTATAGAGTTTCTCTGTAGAAAAGTGCAGGTAAAGTATAGTTACTGGTGTCTGGGGAGACTTGTTTGAAGATGAATTCAGGAATTTGCCACATATAAGAACCAAATTATCTAATATTTAGTTTACATTCTATACCCAGTGGCAATACATTTATCACCCATGACCTTTCTAGGATGCTTCTAAACTTTATTAGTTAGGGTCAGGAAACCTTTCATTGTAATTATCTATATAGCACAGCATAAGAAATGTTTGTTGGTGGACGGGGTCATCTTTGACAATATAAGATCTGCTGTGAAACCTGAGGTTCTCCACTTTAAAATATTTTAAAAACTGAGAACAGCCTTATCACTAAAAATAATTAAAATCTATTAAGTTCAAATATTTATAATTGAAATATAAAAAAATTCCTTTAGTAGATCACAGAATTTCCCTAATATTTCTACCATTTATTTTACTATTTAGAACTTGAACATGGAAATGCTTGAAAATGGAAACTTATGGACCTCACTCATCAAATGAATTTCTCCAGAAATGAAGAACAAAGACTTATCAGAAGAGAAGTTAATGGGAGAAAGAAGGAACAGCAATTGGAAATAAATAAAATTTGCATGTTGAATAAATTTATGACATTTACAACTCTATCTTTCTTTTTGTTCTTTATCAAATTTATATTTCCCTTCTGAAATATGTATCCAGTCCCCACAGTGTTTTTAAAACATTAAAAAAAGCTTTGTAAAGAAGTGCACTCAAAAACACTATAGATAAAAATGAAATTGCAAAATATGTTCAAGTAACCCTCAAGAAGGTAGGGAAAAGAAATGTTTTTAAATATTGAAACAACTAAAATGTCCATCAATAAGTGAACGGTTAAACTAACCATAGTCTATTCATATCATGTAATACTACTCAGCAATAAAAAGGAGCAAACTATTGATATACACAACAACTTGGATGGATCTCAAAAACATGTTAAGTGAAAGTAAAGCCAATTTCAAAAGGTCATACTGTATAATTCCTTTCTATTTTATTAAATTTATTAGGGTGACATTAGTTAATAAAATTGCATAGGTTTCAAGAGTACAATTCTATAACACATCATCTGTATACTGCATTGTATGTTTTATATAATATTCTTGAAATAACAATATTACAGAAACAGAAAATAAATTAGTGATTTCCAGGGATAATGAATGATAACATAAGGGAGAAGGATGTGAGGGTAACATTAGAGAGATCTCTGTGGTGATAAAATCCTGTATGTGTGAGAACAAAAGTCCAAGTTCAAGTTTTTACATTTAATTCCACCTCAAATTATTTTGTTGTTTGTTGTGTAGTGAGTGGGTATCTAAATTGACTTTTCTTCTCATGTAGCTCTCTAAATGTCCCGTTATCACCTATCTACCAATTATATATTTTCTTGCTAATAAACAGTGACTTCGTTACCACAAATTATCATACTTTCTAAGGCTTGTTTCTGAGCGATTTATTCTATTCCATTAATTAGCTAGTCTATCTTTTCACAGTACTAAAATATTTGAATTACTATGGCTTAGTAAAATATTTTAATAAATATTATGGTCAGTCCTTCTATGCTACTCTGTTTTCATCTTTTTTTTTTCTGCAATAATAAGCTCATTATTTATTCCAGGTAAAACACTGAGATCTATTTATCGAATTAATTATCTCTGTAGTCATATTGGGTATTGTTTAGTATTGCATTGAATATGAATGAATTTGTAATGATTGAGAATGTCAACATTTTACGAAATTTAGCCTTTTCTATTCAGAGATATTTTATCTTCATTTGCTCAATGCACATGAAGTAAATTCTAATTCTGACTCAATGTCTAAATGTGGACTGAACCACAAAGTTAAAATTAAAGATTAACTTAATGTACATATATAGTAAGATAAGTTGAAAGCATAAAACAATATATACATGGAGACAAATTTAAAGATATGAACGAAAAATAAAATTACAAAGTAATGAAATAAAACAAAAATTCTCAATCATTAATAAAAACCATTGAAAGATTTTAAGCAAGAAAATATTTCAGATTTGTATTATGTGAGTTCATCTTTTAGCCAATGATGGGAAGAAGAAAGCAAGTTTTTGCTGATTTCTAGATACACAGCCCATTTGTGCAGAACTGGGCTCTCTTCTTCATGCTTAATCAAATGGTTTAGCACACATATCTCTCTTCCTCACTTATACAATTTTACACTTTTAAATATTGTTTATTCTCCTCTCTTCTATGGACTCAGACCTCTTTGAAAGATAAACCTACATCTTAATCATGTATACAGCCTGCTCACCCAACAGAGTGCTGGGAATCCCATATACACTCAGTAAACCAAAGGAGTGATTAAACACATCAGTGCCTATTCTCATAGGTAGATAGATAGAGGAGAGGAAAAATGGAATAACACAAAGGTGTTAACATACACCAGTACAGAAAAGGAACTAGAAAGATCATTTTTTCTAAAACCTGATCTATTGTGTAATATTTCAAAATACTTTATGGAAAAGATTCTCATACTTTTCCAAAGTCAAATAAATGAGGAGAAAAAAGAATTTGGGTTATTTATTAGGACTTTAAGCAAAATTTGTTTAAAAGTATATTTTATGCATTCATTGAGCTCTAAGAGGGAAATCATTGCCCCTATCTTATGAAACTAGCTTTCAACAATCATCAAAAGGATAAAAATTATCTCTATTGGGGGTCGAATCGTATCCCCAAAAAAGATATGTTGCAGTCTTAATCCCTGGTGCCTGTGAATGTGACATTATTTGAAAGTAGGATCTTTGCAGATGTAATTAAGATATAAGTTAAGATGAGGTGATACTGGAGTAGAATGGGCCCTTTATCCAATATTACTGTCATCCTATAAGAAGAGAGAAAGATATACAGAGACAGGCATGCAAAGAAGGAAGACGATGTGAGATACATAGGGAGAATGTCATGTGATGACAAAAGCAGAGACAGGAACACCAAGGATTGCTGACAACTAAAGAAATTAAGAGAAAGGCATGAAACATTTTCTCTTAGAGAATTTACAAGGAGCATAGCCCTGCCAATACCCTGATTTCTGACTTCTAACCTACAGAACTATAAGAGGATAAATTTCCTGTGTTTTAAGCCACCCAGTTTGCGGTACTTTGTTATGGCAGTCCTAGGAAACTACCATAATGTCCAATTAAAATAATATCTTTTCATTCATTGGCACGATTTATTTACTTCATTCTTTTTTTTCTTTTAAGTCAGAAGAAATAAATGAACAGGTTCCAAATGATTGGGTGGAGGAAACAGAAAGTAAGAAATTTTCTTTTTGTTTTATGTATTTCCATACAGTTTAATTTAACAATGAAACACAAAAAAATAAAATCTGAGACAGGGGGTACAGTTCTCCGCTTCTAGCCCTCTACCATGCTTATAGATTATCTCAAAAAGATTAATCTCTTCTTTTTGTTAAAGTTCTACAGGAAAAATTTTCATGTTTATTTTTCCTATAATCATAAATAAATCCATGTGTCATTACTGTTGCTGGACTTCAATGCATGTTTGGATGAAAATGCTGATTTGCAGATTTTAATCTGTTCTGATACACCCCCTCAAGGAATGTTTGATTAGTATTTACTACAAAGTAGAAGTATTGTTGAAGACCTTTCTTCTTAGTCATTTTAAAAATATAAAAGTCACCATTATTTAAATAGCAATAGTGTGAGATTTATCTTTATGCTTTTCGAGCAATATTCTCAGGTATTTTTCTTATAGAATTTAGTAATCTGAATTAATATTATAACATTTTTAAAAGGAATATTCAAGGCACTAAAAGCAAAAGTTCTGCAAAGATTCAAGTTATTGTTGAGCAAAGTTTTACCTGGGAAAATATGTGCCAAGATGTAATGTGTACTTAATCTGAAAAAATAAAACTTATCATGTCCTGTAAATGATCTCTGATTACTCAAAGTCTGTTAATATACAAACCACATAAAAGACTTTTATCATCAGTACACTTGGATAACACTTGGCTCCTTAATATTGACCTTGGCAATCATTTTTTGAATGTAACACCAAAAGTGCCAGCCACAAAGCAAAAATCAACAAGTGGAGCTACATCAAAATAAAAAGCTTCTTCACAGCAAAAGAAAAAATCAACAGAATGAAAGTCAGCCTATGGAATGGAAGAATATACGTGCACACCATATATCTTATAAAAGGGGTAATATCCAAAATATATAAGTAACACATACAATTCAATTCAATAACAAAAAATAAAATAAAATAATTCAAGTAAAAATGGACAGAGGACCTGAATATATATTTTTCCATGAAAGACATAAAAATGGCCAACAAATGCAAATCAAAACCACAATGAGACAGCACCTTACCTGCTAACATTCATCACTTGAGTCTTTAACCATCTGATTTCTCTCAGCTTGGTCTCTTAACCAAGAAGTCCTAGAAGTTCTCTCTGGTTGACTCTGACACACCTCAGCTCTTTCTTATCACATAGAATTCCCAACTTTCTAGATCATTCTACCTCCAATTCTGTGGTTGTTGCTCCAACACAGCTTGTGCTGTAGGGTCACCTATACAAGTCACCCATTTAAGGTCTCTGGATTTAACCTAGCTGTCTTTACATTTCTTGTGGAGAGTTGTGGAATTCTTGGGTCCAATAACAATATATAGGCGCTGAAGCATCCTAGAGAGGTTAAACTTCTAACTCTCACTTATCTATCCACACTGCACTCCAAGAAGACTCTGATGTAGCTACAGTCCAGATTGACACAGGACAGCCTCCAGAGTACCAAACGGGAAGAGGAGTAAAGAGACCTTCTGCTCTATGTATTACCTTTATCCACTTAACACAATTGGCCTTCTCTAGGCCAAAGTACAGGAAGCAGAAATTAGAACTCTGACCAACTCACATTCTTACCTTGTTCAGGCTTCTTTAATCCACAATTTCCCAATAACCAGTAGGGATCCATGTCTCTTTCATTATTCTTCTATCTCATCTACAGCCATAGATGGTACCATCTTCCACTGCATTTCACTCAGAGCATTTGAAAATATATGGGACTGTTCAGTTTTCGGAGTACAGGCTGACTAGATGAAGCAAGTGATATTTATTGGGATCAGACTGTGAAGCGGTCTGTTTTCAATCCTACACAACGTGGGACTATTCTGCCCATTGAAAACCATTATTTTACATCTTTTCCACTATTTAACAAAGAACAACAAGCCCCGTGGCCTAAATGTCATAAACAGAAGAGATATTTTCTCCTCCTATGTAGAAAACCTCACCTTTTCCCTATAGAATTGGCCCTTGATATGATAAATTAGAGCTATTGCCTAAGATAGTAGTCCCCAACCTTTTTGTCACCAGGGACTGGTTTTGAGGAAGACAATTTTTCTATGGACTGGGCGGGGGTAGGGAAGCAGGGAGGGATGGTTTCGGGATGATTCAAGCACATTATATTTATTGTGCACTTTATTTCTATTATTATTACATTGTAATATATAATGAAATGATTATACAACTCATCATAATGCGAAATCAGATGCCACCAGATGCAGCTGTACAATTGAAGTACATCAACTCACTTGGCACTATAAAGCCTGCCACCAGATGCAGCTCAATTGTCTTTTGCCATTCACTGACAGGGTTTTAATATGGTCTTTGTGCAATTAAACCTCTCTGGTAATGTTAATCTGTATTTGCAGTCACTCCCCAGTACTAGCATCACTTCCTCAGCTCCACCTCAGATCATCAGGCATTAGATTCTCATGGAAGCACGAATGCTGTTGTGAACTGCACATTAGAGGGATCTAGGTTGCACTCTCCTTATGAGAATCTAATGCCTAATGATCTGAGGTGGAGCTGAGGCGGTGATACTAGTGCTGGGGAGCAGCTGCAAATATAACTGAAGCTTCACTTGCCTGCCACTCTCCTCCGACTGTGCGGCCGGGTTCCTAACAGGATACAGACTGGTACCAGCGGTTGGAAATTTTTAGTCTAAAGGACCCAGTAACTGTTCTCCCCTGCCTCAGAATGATGGAGGTTGCAGGGGAACATGATGAAAAAGAGAAAATTAAAAGTCATCAGTTTAACATTTGCAAAATTTAATCACTCCTACAAAGACAAATATTTAAAATGCAAACATCCTTGATTAAGTAATACATTAAAACATTTTAGTTGCTCAGTATAAGTGAAATCTGGACAAATTACACAACCTTGATGGGTCCCAATTTAAATATCTATTGAATAAGTACTAAACAAATCTTCGTGTAATAGTTGTTTGAAACAAATATAAAATATATTCTTAATTGTGATTTCAATGAGGCTGATAATGAGAATAAAAGTAGTATATTGAATAGAATTATAATATACTGATGATTTCTTTCCTATTAAAATCAGAGAACTAGGGGGAAAAGTGTGGATGGTAAGGTAAAAAATAATATTTTATAGAGACTATAGTTAATATTGCACTGCATACTTAAAAATGTGTTGAGGGTAGATCTTACGTTAAGTGTTCTCATTAATATAACAATAACAACAACAATAATAATAATGAAAGAGAGAAGGGGAAATTTTTGGAAATGATAAATGTATTTCTAACAAAGATTGTGCTGATGATTTTATGAGTGTATACTTAACTCCATACTAATCAAGTTATATATATTAAATACATTCAGCTTTTTGTGTATCAATCATATCTCAAAAAAGTGTTTAAAAAATAGAGAAAATAAACCCTTTGGAAATGAAGGATTAAAGTAGCCACAACTTTATTTTTTAAGTCCCTTACATAAGCAATTTAATATGGAGATGGGGAGGCAATAAGGCCATAGACAAGGGTTTGGGGGTCACACAGATAAAATTTGTAATCTTCTACTTCCTAATCCTTGTCTGGAGTTACTAAGAAATGATAAGTTTAACTTAGAGTTTCTGGGAAATAATAAAATTTGCAGAGAAATATCTCAATCTGATCAATCTACAAATTTCTCCACTAATTTGTTCTTCCTGAGCTGGGTAGAAAGAGATTGGGACACAATTCGGTGTAGGAGAAAGATACATAGAAATGGGCAACAGAATGGCATGCTCACAAAATGGTTGTTTTTATGGCTATCAATGCATTACACCTTGTGGAAGGCTATTGTTTTAGCTGCCCTGAGCCTCTCTGCTTTAGAACAAAATGTTAGTATTTGTGCAAATTTTTAAAAATGGCTCTAAAGATTCATGGCATATAGTTTTGCCAAGGAACGATTTAAAACTTACACAGCAAGACTACTGGCCTGAAGCAGACCACTTGGAGAATGGGATTACCAAACTTGACTTCTAGGTTCCATAAATAAACTGTCTTTGTTATTCTCTACTTCTAGTCTCACACAGACTAACTTTGTAACGTTAAAAAAAAAAAAAATTCTTTCATATGTCCAATTCTTTTAAAAAGATAAGAGTTCATGTTGGTAGTAGAAAGGAAAGGATAACAATAAAAAAATAACTTTTTCTTAATTGCAAATTAACTCAATAAATAAATGACTTAAACCTACAAGTATTGAACCACTAAAGTTTTGAAGATTCACATTTTATACATAATTTGCTGATTCAGTGAAAGGGCAGGGATTTTATCTCACTCATGTAGATTCAGGTGTGAAGATTAACAGGGATTCATGTTTTCGCACTCAAGGACATGAAAGAGATAATGCAATGGATCGAGTTGTGACAGGAAAATATGGGTGGGGAAATATTATAGAAAAAGAAAATTCATCAATGAATTCATCAAGACATGAAAGTGAAACTCCCAGAAAAATTGTTCATGCTTCAGAATAATTAAATACATTCAAGAATTTAAGTGAAAAAGACTGCAAAATAATATAATTATCTTTTTAATAAAAAAGATAATTTATCCACTGATACAGGCTTGACACAGCATATATTTGTGAACATAGAAATAGTAATACTAAAATATTAATATTGATTACCTCAAGAGAGTGAGAATAAAGGAGGATGAGAATCAAATGCTGCATGTACTTGTCTGGTATGTGCGTGATGTAAATTATTAATAAAAATTAAAACTTGTTGATATAAAGTTATTGCATTTTGTCTAAACTATATCCAAGGAACCTAAGAGAAACAGCACATATTCTTTTTTTCAGTGTTGTTAAGAAAATTATTTCACACTATACATACATGTCATTTCATGTAATGGATATATGTTCACTGATGTTCTTTCAGTTGAATTTGTGTGAATCCAGTCATGGTGTTCATGCACAAGTGATATTTATTTAGACATTTTAATGTAAATCTTTTTATATAAGGTAAATAATCACCTACAATTTATTATATATGTGTACTTTCATGGGTATATATTCAGGAATTTCGGTATTAAGTCTTTTTAAAACAAAAACTGACTATAAAATTGTAACATCTTCAAAGTCAACTTCCAGTAGACTGACTGTGTGCCTGAGGCACTACTGATGAGTAAAAGATATAATTCTTACACCAACATGTAAGATGCACCTCCATCTTATTGTCTTAATTTATTGACCCTTGGTGTAGAACAGATTATAACAATAAATACATATTGTTATAGAAAACACAGCTATGGTTGAAAATGCTTGTTAGCCTTTATTTTTCTCTGATATAGCCTTCTTCCTTTCCCAGGCAGTATATGGTGCTGGTCCCCTCCCTGCTCCACACTGGGACCCCTGAGAAGAGCTGCCTCCTTCTGAGCCACCTGAATGAGACAGTGACTGTAAATGCTTCTTTGGGGTCTCAGAAAAAAAACAGGAGCCTCTACACTGATCTGGTGGCAGAGAAGGACTTATTCCACTGTGTCTCCTTTACTGTGAGTACTAGGTGCCTGTCTCCATTTATTGATTCATGATGATAGACAGCTAGTCTTCAGTTCCAAAGAATGACTTTAAGAATCTTAGTGAGGGCTTCAGAAAGGACTAAGGAGAATGAGTTTTCAGCTACTGAAGTACAAAGCATGGATTTTTTACCAAAGTAGGGGAGAAATATTTTTCTACTTGCCAAAGTTCAATTTAATTACTAAAAAATTGTACTAGCCACAGAAATTATATAATCATACAATAGTCAGAGGGGTTTTCTAGCTTTGATATATAACCATCTTTTGCAGGCCAGAGTCAGACAATGCCTACAAACAGAATGTAGCACAATTTTTCTCTTGTAGTCAGATGTTAAGGTGTCTTTGTCCTCAGAATGTGTAAATGGTTCAAGATTCTCCAAGCAAACATCCAGTATCTCTTGAGGTTTCCCAACTTGAGATGCTTAGCTTCTATATTCTCATATTTTTTCAGAGATGTTTCTCGCCATTCCTTCAGAATATATATGCTCAGTTAAAAGGAGTATAATTTAATATATAAGAATTTCAGGTGAGCTATATGGGGATTTGGGTTCCATTGATGGGTATTCTTACTGATATAGTTCTACTATATCTTATATTAATATCTTCACTCATATCTAGAGAAACAAGCATACCTACCTAGCCCTTGGTGAAGCTAAAGCAGAAATAGAAAATAATAATAAATGAAGGATTCAAAGAAGAAGATTGTGCGGTTCCTCAGTATATCCTTTGTTCTTTAGCTCCCAAGGATCTCATCCTCTTCAGAGGTGGCTGTCTTCATTGTCCACATAAAGGGACCAACACAAGACTTCAGAAAGAGGAACACAGTGCTCATAAAGAATGATCAAAGTCTCATCTTTGTCCAGACAAACAAACCCATTTATAAACCAGGACAGACAGGTATGTAGGGAGATTTCACTGTTTGGGACAACACTATGAAGGAGGGGCCAGCTCAACAGATTTTCCAGCTGAAGTTACCATTATCCTAATCTCTTAGCCTCCTGTCTTATTACCCCAATTACCTGCTTTCTCATGTCTGAGACTTATCAGAGAATTTCTTTTTTAGTAAAATTTTGTATCATGTCTCTGGATGAAAATTTTCACCCCCTAAATGAACTGGTGAGTATTTCAATATCTGTAGTTTGGTGGCAGGGGGTAGTGGTGGAGAGGAGGAGAGCACTGCCCCAGGTGGGCTAGGAATGTCCACAAAGAGCAAGATGAAAGATATTCCTTTTGGCCCCTGGGTGCCAGCTTCACCAGAAATCTAAAGTCTTATACAAGGTATAATTGAGTAGTAAGAGATGAGAAAACTCTTTCTCTTATAACAGTAATTAATCAGTCTGGCAATAGTCAGCTACATGTATTTATCTCAACACATTATATTAAGCATAATGAAGAGGCACAATAAAAAAGTTAGGTGCTTTTCATAGCCATACACTGAAGGAGTTTATGCTTAATTAAAGCATCAAAGTTTCACCTCTTGTGAATATATATAAATATTATAAAATATATTATAATTTTATTATATGAGTATATTTATACATATATCACATAATATACATTATATATAAAGTCTTCATTTATGTTAATTGTATTTCTCTTCCTTCAACTAGCTTTCAATATGAAAGCAAAGAAACAAAGCTACTTTTAAAAGGTAGATATTAGACAATTTTAAAATCAGGAAAAATATTATTGGTTTACTTTTAACCAAATAATTCTAGAAATTCTCTTCCTGTTGGGTCTAAATCATAATGACATATAACTCTATTATTATCCATTTCTAATTTATGTAAGTTAACAGTGTAGTCATGTTCTTTAGTAGGAGAATTTTAGTACCTAAATAATATTATTGGTAAATAATATTAATAAATATTAACAATTATTCACCAATAATATGTCTCAAGGAAATAACAACACAGTGATTTTTGTAGAAAAATATTATGGTTTTCTTAGAACTATTTACTGATTTCCCTAAGCATTTCCACTTATTTTATGTCTTAGTTTAAATTTTGATATATCTTACTACAAATATTATTTTTCCTCAGTAGGCTGTTTGATTATAAGTTTGAAATCATAGCTTTTGGAGAAATTCTAACCACATCTCCTTTCCTTTTTTCATATAGATTCCACTGGTATACCTTGAGGTAAGCATCAGAAAGAGTATCTTATAAGGAAGTCAGTGATTTAAAGAGGAAGTTCTGATAATATTTCAGACAGATGAACTACTGTTAAAAAAGATTTTCAAACAAAAATTTTCCTACTCTCAAATGTCAAGTGTATTGTGGTTCACCTTCGTTCTTTGTTTGTCTCTCCTGATGGCAATACCAGCACAACCCTCGAAGTTATGTGTTTTGTCAAAGGCTATGATGCCTAAACAATTATCTTCATGCTTCTTTTTGACCTTTAGAATCCAAAAAGAAATCGAATTAGACAATGGCAGAAACTCAAGTTAGAGAGTGACCTCAAACAATTAGCCTTTTCCCTCTCATCAGAGCCAATTCTCGGCTCCTACAAGGTGGTGGTACAGAAGGAATCCAGCGGAAGTATAGAGCACCCCGTCTCCGTGGAGGAATTTGGTATGGATTATGAAAGATGAAAGGGGCATAACTTTTGATTTGTAGTGTGAATTCACTTAGATCTTTTGAATTTCCCACGGGTATGTTGAACTGGAAGTAGAGTCAGCTTTATCTTTTTCTAAGGCCATCATTATTCTGTGAACACAGAAGTTTATAAGAACTTAGTGATTTCCAGTAGTAAATTATATTTTGCCAAGTACCAAAATTCTTATTTCAGTGGAACCATCATCATTTGTTAGCATCACTGAGGTCACCAAATCAGTTAGATTTTGCATGAACTGTTAGTCATCTTAAAGTTGATACATTGAAAAATGCATGTAAGTTTTCAGAGTATTTTTGTGGGAAAAATTATAGACATAAAAATACTTGTATTTCCATTAAATGTTTACCCGCCTCCTTATTTTCATTATCTCTATCACTAGTGGTTCCCAAGTTCGAGGTCAAAGTTCAGGTCCCAAAGATAATCGGTATCAATGAAGAAAAACTGAACATATCCGTATGTGGAATGTGAGTTAAATTGTTTTCATCTGAAATTTCATATTTTGCCTCAATTTTGAGTGATTATTTAGCTAGATACACAATTGTAAAATGAAACCTCACGTGCCCATCACCTATTATAAAAATTATGAAACTTGACAATGTTCTATTAATTCTTCTTGCTATAGTTTCTTTCTAATATTTTTAAACAGGACATAGGAAATCTTTAAATATTTTAAAATTTTTAAAATCTAGAACCTCCTTTTTTCCCATATTGTTGGTTTATTATTATATAGTAATTGACCTATAAGAATAGGTCAATAAACTGTAAATGTTCTACTTGTTGCATTTGCCTGATTGCTTCCTCATGGCACATTGATTTAATTTTAATCTCTCTTCTAACTAATTTTAAGAGTGTTTTGCATTTTGCATAGATCCTCTTGGTGCAGTAAAGGAACAAATTTTTAAACACTGAATTAATCTCTCTCTATTTTTAATTTCTTGAGAAATTTCCATACTGTTTTCCACAGCTACTGTCTCATTTTACATTCACATTAATGGCATGCATGGGTTACAGTTTCTCCATATACTCACCAACACTTGGTTACCTTTTGCTTATCTTTACAATAGCCACCTAACAGGTGTGAAGTGATAACTTATTGTGGTTTTTATTTGCATTTTTCTAGTAATTAGTGATGTTGAGCATCTTTTCATATACCTATTGGCCATGTGCATGTCTTCTTTGGAGAAATGTCTATTTGAGTTATTTGCCCTTTTAAAAACTGGATTGTTTTTCACTTTGGATTATAAGAATTACTTATATATTTTGGATATTAACCCCTAATCAAATACATATATTATAAATATCTTCTCCCATTCTGTAAATTATCTCTTTATTGCTGTGCAGAAGCTTTTTAATTTGATACAGTCCCACTTTTCTATTTTTGCTTTTGTTGCCTGTGCTATTGGGTTATACCCAAGAAATTATTGCTAAGACCAATGTCATGAAGCTTTTCAGCTAGGGATTTTACATTTCAGGTCTTACGTTTTAGTCTTTAATCTATTTTGAGTTTATCTTTGTGTATGGTGTAAGATTAGGATTTAATTTCACCCTTTTGCATGTGGATACCCAGTTTTGCCAACACTATTTCTTGAAGAGACTGCCCTTTCGTCACTGTGTATTCTTTGTACCCTTGTCAAAGATCAATTGACTGTATATGCGTGAATTTCTTTCTCATGTTTCTATTCTATTCTATTGGTCTAAATATTCGGCTTCATGCTAGTACCATACTGTTTTAATTACAGTAGCTTTGCAATATAGTTTGGAGTCAGGAGGTATGGTGCCTCCAGGTTTGGTCTTTCTCAAGATGCATTGTACAACATCAGATAGTTACTGGACTTTACATGGTGATCACTTCTTTGGGTATATAAATGTTGAACAACTATGGTATACACCTGAAACTAATATAACATTTTATGATAGCAATATTTTAACAAAAATATTTTAAAAAAGAAAAATCCAGCAGAGCATTAAAGAAACTATTGAACTAGGTGAATAAATTGAAGTCCAAAAAAATTAAAATATTGTTTTGACTATTCGGAGTTCTTTTTTTGTTTCATATGAATTGTAGGATTGTTTTTTTCTCTCTCTCTCTCTCTTTCTGTAAAGTGCCATTGGGATTTTGTTGGGGACTGCATTAAATCTGTAAATTGCTGTTTGTATGGATATCTTAACAATACTAAATCTTGCAATTCACGAACACAGGATGTCTTTCCATTTATTTCTGTCTTCTTTAATTTTTTAATCAATAGTTTTAGTTTTCAGTGCACAAGTCTTTCAACTCCTTAGTTAAATATAATTCCTAAGTCTTTTATTCTTTTCATTGTTATTATATATAGGATTGTTTTTATAACTTCCTTTTCAAATAGTTCATTGTTAATATACAGAAACATGGCTGATATTTGTACAGTGAAATCGTATCCTTCAACTTTATAAAAATTGTTTATTAGTTCTAACAGGTTTTTTTGTGGAGTCGTTAGGGTTTTGTACATATAAAATCGTGTCATCTGCAAACAGCTAATTTTACTTTTTCTTTTCTGATTTGGATGTTTCTTATTTCTTTTTCTTGCCTAATTGTTCTGTCTAGGATTTCCAATACCATCTTAAATAGAAGTGATATGAATCAACATCCTTGTCTTGCTTCTGATCTTAAAGAAAAAGCTTTCAGCCTTTCAGCATTGAGTATGTTGTTAGCTGTGGGATTTTTATACATGGCTTTTATTGTGTTGAGATAATTTCCTTCTATTTCTAGTTTATTGAGAGTTTTTAACCATAAATTTTGTCAAATGTTTTTTCTATATTTACTAATTATGTGATTATTATCCTTCATTCTGTTAATGTGGTATATTACATATATTGATTTGTATATATTGAACCATCCTTGCATCCTGGGGATAAATCCCACCTATCATAGCGTATAATCATTTTAATGTGCTGTTGAATTCAGTTTGCTAGTATCTTGTTGAGAATTTTTAAATCTCTGTTCATCAGGAATATTGGATTATACTTTTCCCATAGTATTTTCCCCCGACTTAGGTATCAGGGTGATGCTGACCTCATAAAATAAAATGTTCCTTCATTTTTTTAATTTTTTTGGAAGAGTCTGAGAAGATTTGACATTAAATTTTCTTAAATGTTTGTTAGAATTCACTCATGAAGTCATCTGATTCTGGACTTTATTGAGAGGTTTGGATTACTGATTCAATCTCATTACTAGTTATAGATCTGTTCAGATTTTCTATTTTTTTTTTTGATTCAGTCTTGGTAGGTTGTATTTTTCTAGATACTATATTCATTTCTTCTAAGTCAACAATAGCCAACTTGTTGAAATATAATTGTTCGGAATAGTCTCTTATGATATTTTGTGTTTCTCTTTTACTTCTGGATTTTATTTATTTGAGTCCTCTCTTTTTTTCTTAGTCTAGCTAAAGATGTTTCAATTTGTTTATCTTTTCACAAAAACAATTCTTACTTTGGTTAATCTTTTTCTATTGTTCTTTATTGTCTATTTTATTTATTCCTGCTCTAATATTTATTATTTTCTTCCTTCTGCTAACTTTAGGCTTAGTTTGGATAATATCTTAATAGAGACATTTTCTAGACATGTTTCTACTTGATATAAGTTTAAAATGATAAAGATGTACAGAGAACTATAGAAAATAATTGTCCTGTGCTAGGTTAGTAGTGGAAAATGTAAATACCCTTCCTCAGTTCCTCATGTATTTCTTTGGTGATAGATACACCTATGGGAAACCTGTCCCAGGACTTGCAACTGTGCGTATGTGCAGAAAATTATTTCATTCTTTTCAATGTCAAATTCAAGAGCTTTGTAAAGAATTTAGTCAACAGGTTAGTATACAGTGTTCTTCCTAGAAGCTATCATTGTTGACAACCAGTCAACTACCACATTTTACCAACCTGTAAAAAGACATCAAAGTAAACTTATCCCAAAACATTCCCCACCAAAAATGGAATTTTTATTCTTAGTCAATAAAATTCTCATTTCAATGACTAACTATGGAGATTACAGATCAAATATGAATGTTAAGTTCCTAAAGGTCATTACCATGTTTAACCCAAAGAAGTTGTCTTGGTAGCAGAAAGAAAATAGTAGATTTAGTAACTATTAGTCTTAATCAGTATGACATTTATCAACGTTTGTATTCTTCTCAGCTCAACAGCAATGGCTGCATCACCCAAAAAGTAAACACAAACTCGTTCTAGATTAACAATATAGGTTATGAAATGAAACGTAGTACTCACGGGAAATGGGGCAAGTGAAATCACAAACATTGCAACCAGACTCAAGTTTGTGAAAGTGAATTCACACTTTAGATGAGGAATACCCTTCTTTGGACAGGTAAAGTATATTGCAATTCACAGGTAAATGAAGTATCCAATTGTACCTAATTCTAGGACACAATAATGTAGCCCATAACTAGTTAGTGTTATCAATTAATTAATATGACCAAAATCATGAAACCAAACAAAAGTAGAAACTTTATTTTGCATATATCACTAATAAAATGTACAAACACACACTATAGTTTCATCAGAATAAGAAGTACTATTTCTTTTTTGAACATATGGCTAATAAAGTTGTTTAATGTTAAATAAGTTAGTTATTATATTAAACCTCTTCTCTTACCCATTTTATAATAAATAAATACATTTCTGCCATTATCCATCCAGCATCAGAATTTTAAGAGAGTTTCTCACAAGTGACTCTCAATTTATGGCTGTCAAGATCCTTTTTTATATCTCTTGTTCTTTTTAACAAATGGTTTTAATTTTAGACATATGAATTATAATAGTGTGTAGTTTGTGGCTTTTATTATTTTATTATTTTTATATTTAGGGTATATAATTTATGAATAATAAAATAAATAATAATATTTTATTTTATTCATATTGACAGATAATTTTACCAGTTTTGTAATTATTAATTTTTTTCTCAAAATAAAACATTCCTGCATAGATTTGCTTATGTAGTTTGTTTCAGGAGATGAAAAAGAAGTGACGATCCAGATAATAAAAAGGAGATGGAAACACGTGAAGATACAAATGGAAGGAAACAGTTTGTAGTCAATATAGAAGAGTTGTTTCTTGTTTTGGGTTTTTTTTTTTTTTTGGTTTTGGTTTTGGTTTTAAGTTATGACAACAAAGCAGTTTGTTCCCATGAGTTCTGCCTTCTCTGAGTGTTATCTCCACATAACTTACCAAGTACTTATCTTCTTTAGGTGCTTCTCGTGGATGGGGAAAATATGCACCTCCCCAATAAACTCATCTTCATCTCCTCAAGGGAAGCCAATTATTTTTCCAATGCAACTACCAATGAACAGGGTCTTGTAGAATTTTCAATCAATACTACCAATATATTGGCTAACAAATTTTATATTATGATAAGCATGAAAGAAAAACAAACCTGAGGACAAAGAGAAACCTTAGTAATTGTCATGTACTCAGAAGTGAAAAAGCACATAGATTGTGTTTAAGAGAGAGAAATAAGGAGCTGTCCAACTTGGGGATAAATTTGGGGATATAAAAGGTCATTAAGAATAATAAAGACATGGAAGAGATATTGTAGAAATGCCTGATCATTTCATTAGAATTATCTTTAACATTTTATGTATTATCCAAAAAAAACTTACTGAATATTTTCCTGAACAATATCAGTTGATCAATGGGTAAGTAATTAGTGTAATTTGTTTTATGTTGTTTTTCCATGTCTACTAAGATTTTTTTTTAATGATCAGAACCTTCCACACACTCTTACTTAATATATTGCCTAATGAAAATAATAAAAAGATTTCTACAGCTAAAAAACTTTTATGCTTGTAATCTAAATACATATATATATGGTAAAAGGCTATAATTTATTGATTCCAGCTTAAATTAATGACATATTTTCATTTCCCAAGGTTCACATGTTAATTCAATTTAAAAATATGTAATGATGGTCAGTGATTTCTATGTAATGAATGCCTGCTCTTCCCTAGGATTAAAATGTGAATGAACAGTGTCCCTATACTCGACATTTTCCTATATTTATAGAGTTAACAGCACTGTAAATTATTAATCAGATGTTAAGTGCAATAATTTTAAAAATAGCAACTTTATTATGAGAGCAAACAGAAGGATCTACAAAATACACCTAAAAAGTTCATAAAATAAATAAGTACACCCATAAAAAAGCTAAGGAGCAACTACTGCAGGGAGAATAAATGGAATTATCCACTAAATAACATATGTAAGATTTAAAAGTCCAAAAACTACACTCGCCTTTAAAATCAGAAGTCACAATGAAGATAAGAGTCATAGATGTTAATTTGCTAAGGGTTATTTATAAATAATTTTGAGACCCACGAAGTAATAAGATATTGCATTAATATATACAACATGATTTTAATTAAATTAACTTAAAAGGGACTTTTATTATCTGAAGATTTTTACCATTCTAATTGGGACAGCATCGTTCCTCAGGCTCTGAGCTGCAGAAGAGTTAAATGAGTGATAAGTTGTCAGAATCAGGGGAAAGGGGACAAATGCACAGATGATTTTCTTTTAACCTCTGCAATTGAGAGGTTGAAAATATATTTAGTTGGTCATCAGCAGAAACCAACTGATGCACAGTATATTTTAAAGTGCAAGACACAAAATTTTAACTATTTTGGTGGGAAGCTAAAGCGAAGAACTTCAATACAATATTGATTCTTTGTTTTTCTGTTTTATCAGATCTACCATAAGCAACTTAATTTGTGTCTTAATTATGTGTGGATACAAGAAGAACACAAAAGAACTTATCACATGACAAGTCATGTTTTCTTCTTCAGTGGGAGTTATGTTCACCTGGAGCCTGTGGCTGGTACCCTACCCTGTGGCCAAACACAGATCATCAAGGCATACTACATACGCAATGAGCAGGCCACTGGGGAACTAAAGGAGCTCATTTTCTCTTATCTGGTAAGAATAAAGCCACAAAATATATTTGGAGTTTATTAGTAGACGAAAGTGGTCAATAAGGCCAGGAATGTAAAAATTACATAAAATGTTAAAGATAATTCTAATGAAATGATCAGGCATTTCTACAATATTTCTTCCATGTCTTTATTATTCTTAATGACCTTTTATCAATGAGGAGGGCACTGGGGAACTAAAGGAGCTCATTTTCTCTTATCTGGTAAGAATAAAGCCACAAAATATATTTGGAGTTTATTAGTAGACAAAAGTGGTTAATAAGGCCAGGAATGTAAAAATTACTTGTGCACTACCATCTTGCTTTCTCCTCCATATTCCCCTTGATTCTTTACTTTTCATGAGGTTGATTCTATCCAGCTGAGACTCAACAACCGAAAGTAGGTTGTGTGGGGAATAGGGTGTTGAAAACTGTGTCAGGTTCAAGAAAAGTTCTTTTTTGCTGATTTTTTGTTTCAGATCATGGCTAAAGGAGGCCTCATCGGATCAGGAACACATGCTCTGTCTATAGAGCCAAGAGATGATGAGTATCCTCAATAGGTCTCTCCATTTCCTTCCCAACACATCCACCCCCACACCTCAGTAACAGTTCACAAATGAAGAAATTATTTCTATTATCTCTTTACAATAAGAGAGTACCCAAATGAAAATAGAGATCCTCTTTATGACTCTCTGGCTTTTTATGATCTAACAACAGTCAACAGATAAATTTGTTTGTCTAACTTTTTCTGAGATTTTAATTTGTGCGTAATTCATAAAAGAAAGAATCTCTAAACAGTAATACAAGGAAGAGTTAATTCATTATTTCATGAAGACATCACAAAAATGTATTGAAAGTAACTGATACAATAATTGAAAGGAATTCCTCTATATAATTAATTAAATCATAATTATTTCTAAAACTATTTTAACCACACATTGGAATTATGTTATTAATGCAAATTTGTTCTACACTAAAGAGTTACTGAAATCCTTTGATTCTACAAGATAAAAAAATCAACTTTGTTCACAATTTATCTAATTCTGCCTTTTTTTATTCATTTTTTAAATTTTTTAAATTTTATTAAACTTATTGGGGCAAAATTGCTTAATAAAATTATATAGATACCAAGTGTACAATTCAGTGATACATCATATGTATTTGTGTGTTCACCACCCAAAGTTAAATTTCCTTCCATCACCGTACATTTGACCCCTTTTACCCTTTTTGATTACTTAAGTTTAGCCTAT